GCCCTGGACCTCAGCTTTTTGCCCCACCCCCACCCCGTGAACAGGCCCCCTCCTATCCTCCAGAGACCCCTTCCTTTCGGCTTGCTTGCGTATTGTGCTAGAGGGATGATCACACTGGCGCATAGGCATGGGATTTTAAGTATAGGAGAACTAACTGACCTTCAACTAAGCACAAAGCATTACTCAAAGCTAGCGCCACAAGGATGCCGTGGGTGTGGATCAAAGACCCGTCCAATAATCAGTTGTACTGACTGCATTAGTTCTAATGAAGAGTCTTGTGCACATGGAGACGGGTAAGAAGAGGAACTGCTGCCAGTGAGGTGTGTCTGGGAGAAGCGACGGGGACGGGAAAGAAAGTGTAAAGCGTAGAACAAGGCCAGCAACAGTCTTCTACTGTAGACACCAGCTAAGTGCCCAAACTCGTGCCAAACCAATATTTAAAACACAAAATAGATGAGTATACCTTGGATAAATCATGATGTAAACTCTTTCGGCTGAAGGGATTTTTACCATCCCGCTTAGAGGAAGGGATGCCCACACCGGAGTCCTACACAGTCTCAGGTCCGAGACGAAGGGACTCGGTATTTGTATTCTTAAGTCCATTCATTATATCTCCATTCCAAGGTACGCAGCCCACCTACTCTCTGGCTGCCCTTGCAAACACCAAGCATAACGACACCCAGGCGACACTACTGCCATCTGCACTCCACTTCACACTTCCCTACTTCACGTAGGGAGCTGGTGGCTGACTGCATTTGGCCCCAGCCGTCTCTTCCACTTCCTCTTTCCTATGGCCATTCTGCTGGGTGCAGCATGTGATCCATCCGAGTGGTCAATTCAGGGCACTGCTTTCCTGTATCTTCACAGCCCGAAGGTCAGCCGAGGTTTCTTTGCCACAGATCATTAATCTATTCTCTCAGTATACCAGGTGCTGTCCTGAGACCGAGGGACGGAGTCTCTCAGCTCCAGATAAGGATTTAGTTCACTTCCATTAAACCTGGGGACTACACAGTGCGGGAAGCTCTCTAGCGCTAGTCTAGACAGCGAACAAGCCTAGTGACTTTCCACCACCAGCTCCAGGGCCACCCACAGTCACACACCACTCAGAAACTGGCACGGATCCAAGAAGTTGTCGTACTTCCACCGGGGACAGGGAGTTCATGTCCACAATGATGGGATATCAGTTACTCTCCTCTTTCTCTCTGCCTCCTCGTCCCCGTGTGCTTGCATGTATGAATGCGTGCGTGCATGAGTGTGTGAGCATGTGTGTGTGCATGTAGGCCATAGCTGACATCAGGTGCCTTGTTTTTTTCAGGTGCTTTACTTAATCAAGTTGGGGACTCCCCTCACCTGCATGAATCCCCAGGACTCAACCAGCCTGCATGCCCAGCAAGCCCCAGTATCTCCTCTCTCTGCCTCCTCAGCATCAAGATTACAGATGCACACCACGCTCCTGGCTTTTGAGTGTGGATGCTTTAAACCCAGAGTCAGGTCCATGGCTTGCATGGCAACACTTACCAACCGAGTTTCCTCCCAATTCCCTCAGCCCTTGACTTTCAGTGATAGGTCCTTTCCTGTGCCAGCTGTGGATGGGGCTCTCTAGAGAAAATGCTGCGGTCGCATGGTTAAGATAACAACAAAAGATTTACTATGAAATTCATAATTTAGAAATATGTCAGCCATAATAGTTTATGTTCTGTACTTCCTGGAATTTGTATTTCCTAGGAATCCTGGCAACAGGAATGACAGATGGTGCTCCCTCATCTCCTGAAGATAAACACAAACTTTTTACCATCTTCTTCATTTAAACACAGTGCCACCTGTCTGCCCCGCCTCCAGCTAAACAGGAACGTTGTCTGCTGCTTCTCAAATAGATGATCTCTAGAACAAAAAGGGACTGGAAAACAAGACCACACAGAAAACCTTCCCTGCTGATTTGTTATGAAGGAGCGTCAGTCTTCCGTGAAATTAACCGCGACCACATAAATGGACACAGAAATCCAACTCTTTTTGAGACAGGGTCTTACTGTGTAACCCTGGCTAGCCTGGAACCTGCTATGCAGACCAGGCTGGCCTTGGTCTCGTGAAGATCCACTTGCCTCTGACGCCAAGTGCTGGGATTAAAGATGTGTTGCACCATGCTGGGCACAACGTTGATTTGTGAAAACAGATGATCTAAGTAACTGCACATTCATTAGCTAAGTCATGTGGACATGGGTGAAAGGAGAACCTTCAGGTGAAGCCACTAGACTAATAAAGCCCCGAAAGTTGGGGGCTTGCAGTAGCCACAAGGAAAGAGTCATATAGCCAGGGGAAGCTTGGAAGAGAAAAGTTTTACCGTCTCTCTTCTCCTGTACACCTTGCAAGTTACCTCAGTCAACAAAGCTGTATAACAATGACAACTCAGCCTTTTCTCTGAGAAAAGTGTCTGGGTGCTGAAGAGGTCCTGGGACCTGCAGGGCCTGCTTAGGTGGAGGCCGGGACTATTTCGGAGCAGGACCAGGCAGATGATGGTTAAGAATCTGTCATAGGTAGAGCCCTGAGCCAGTGTTTGTCTCCTGGAGCTGTTTGGAACTGTGAGTCCTCCACACGTTCTCCGACAGCTCCAAGTGTCACCGAACAGTGGCTGGAAGAATGACACACGACTCTATTGCCTCTATGGCCACCGTCTCTCCGTTTAGCATCTAGAGAACACAAATGCCCACCACCACCGTGAAGAGATGGGCACTGTGCTGGACAAGCCCATTGGCTGCTCATCTCACCTGAGAGCCAGAGAACATCTCTGCGGTGAACCTAAGTCTGTCTTGCCATCCAAGACACGTCAGAGGACATTTCCCCATTAATAACTACATCAGTCATGGATCTCTACCTAAATAAAGCATAGGCTTTAAAAACAAGACACATCCCCTTGGCTAATCATCCCAGTAAATTAGAGAAGTATTAAAGTGGGACAAAGAGAAAAAACTATAGATCTTTAGCTCTGAAAACATGCCTCTGTATGTGTGTGTGTGTGTGTGTGTGTAACACAGTGGGGTTTCTTTTCCCCTAAGTCCTTAAACTATTATTTCAAAGAAGGAAAACACTTCCCTTTCTGTTAGAACCAGGACTTGGGACACCCTCCCCTCCAGATATTCTCAGGACAGTTGCCATAGCTGGGGTCCATCAGGGAGCTGAGTAGCCCCTCAGAACACAACCAAGAATGTGGACATTGCCAGTCAACTTAGAGACAGTGTAGGTGACATCTCAACTCCTCCAACAGTTAAGGACCATGAAGCAAGAGCGAGCATCGGAGGTGACTTCAGGGAAAACACATCCTCCTTAAATCCAGAGGTTTGCCGAAGACGCCGAAAGATGAGCTTATTTTACTGTGCCATCGGATGCTCCCAACGGGTGACCATGCCTTCTCTGAGCTGTGGAGCACTGGATAATGTGACCTTCAAGATGCTCCATCCTTTTCTGACATTCTAGTGTCCTTCTAGTTACACGGTGCAAAGACGTGTGCCCTCTGACTTTCAGTAGTTTAAGAGGACTACCCCAAGCCTTTTTTCAATCTCTAACAGGCCTGTGGGTTTTCTTCTGTTGTCTCTTTGGTTTCTGTCAAGGGTTACTTATCTTAAAAGCCAATCTGTGTCTCTCTTTTAGCAAAGAGTTTCGAGGTAGAGTAAAAGGTTGTCTCCACCTCAGCTTGAGCAAGCGACTCTAAAACCACTACTGCGCCCCCTAGAACCAGCAGAGATGAGCTTCTATGCTTCTAGGCCCTCAACGGTTATATTTTGAAGGGAAACGTTTTCCATAATCTGATCCTTGAATCTCACCTTCTGCAAGCATACTGCAGACACAGCGGACCGGAACAAATGGAAGCACTCTCTCCCTGGCCTCGCGGCACTGACACACCTTAAACTTGTGCAGAACGAGGAAAGATTCTTGGTGGTTCTGTTAAGCCAAGGTAGGCATTTTTCAGCCTCACCAGCTCTTTCCAGCTGTGTCCTTACCTCTGTTTCCAACTTCCCCGTCTCTGCCAAACTAAGGCAGGGAGAAGGGAAGAACGGAACGAAATTAAAATGTTCAACTGGATACACCCACAGGAAATATTTGGCTAATTCTATAATAACCCGAGGAGCACAGAGGTTAAAAAGAAATGAGTTCATTCTCCAAACTTTTGAGGGAAGAGGTAAGCCATTCACAGACTGCTAGACTGGGAGAGGCCATAGGTATTAACTTATCGGGCACACTCATTTCACGAATGACTGAGTGTCCTGAATAGTTGTTAACTCCCACCTAGATACTCTAGGATGGACTGACGTTCCTCGCCTAGATAGTGTTGTGTACACCACACTCAACACCGTCACTGTGTCAGTTAGGAACTCCTGCTGGGACCGAGGACGGCAATGAAGATGCATTCCTGGTGTTCAACAACCCCACCAATGCACCCAAAGCAAGAACACAGGCTGTTCGGCTTCCCTACCAGTTTCACACTCTTGGTGTGGTAGAGAAAGAAATACAGAATCCGGCATGTGGCCCATCATTTCCCCTGACTAAGACAACTCAATCACCAACACAGCTGAGGGATGGGTAGGAAAAACACCCTTCACCTCTAAAGTCTTTGGAGCGGAGACCACTGTCACCCAGTGGCATACGGGCCAGAGCAGCTAGAGCGACCTGCTGCCATCCTGTCCCCTTGGTACGCTCTTTAAGTCATGAGTGTTTTCTGCGGTTTACAAGTCTGGTTGTTGTCAAGGTGTGGGCCACATCCTCTGCAAGGCGAGAACCCCGGTAGCTTAGTTTACAACAAAGTCAGGTTCCCCCCCCCCCTCCCCGCCACCACAGGACACCAGCCGACAGACCCCGCCTCTCTCGGATTCCCGGGGGCTCAGCTACAACCCACGTCGCCACGCGAGAAGGTGCAGCCGCCCCCGCTCCGCAAGCACTCGGGGTACCTTCGCCCTCCCCCGCCGCCGCGACACCCTCCGGGGACCGTGTCCACCCACCCGAGCACCCACCTGCGGGGGTCCGAGCGCTCTCCCGCTCCCGCGGCGGACTCCTCGGCGCCTCCATGCGGGCCGCGCGCCTCCACCCGCGCGCACTCTCCGCCCCGGGTACAGCCCCGAGCCCCGCTCGCTTCCCCGTCCCCGCGATCGCAAGCTCAGTTGCTGAGACAGCCGTCCGTGCTCCCGCCCACGAGCGCAGACTGACGTGCACCGCGGCCAGTCAGAGGCTGGGGCGGGCCCTGGGGGCGGAGCCTCCGTGCGAGGTCCGAGTGGAGGACGTGGGGGCGCCGAGGGCCCTACTGCCCAGCTGCTTTGCACGCTGTCGAGGCTTGGCCCAGCCCCCGGGGCTCCTCTGGACACACCCGGGCTCTGGGCACACCCGGGCTCTGGGCACACCCGGGGCGGCCCACCTGCTCGAATCCTGCGCCCTCTCCCGAGCTCTGCACTGAAGCCTGCGAACTCCTCGCCCGCCCAGGACACCCTGGTGCCTCGGTTCCCTGTTTGCCAAGGAACAAACCTGCTCTGTCTGCGCCAGAGAGCGAGAGAATGGAATCCAGAAGCATCTGCCCGTCCAGGGGGCCTATTCCACTATGTGGGGCAGGCTTCTTCGCCTTTCTCTGTGGGTCAGCAGAACCGGCTAGTGCGTGCTTGAAAACTGTTTAGGGACAGAACAAGTACATTCCTGACACAAAGTGGTTCTGTAAAATAATGTCTTAGAAGTTAAAAAAAGAAAAGAAAAGAACAGAAAAGAAAAGAAAGCAAGCTCTAACAGAAGTAAATGACCCAACAAGAAATAGACAGATGATTCTTTCGCTCCTCATTTCCTAATTTGATGGATCCCCTACTGTGTGTTTTATTTTGTTGTTTTTTTTCTTGTCCCCAGAAGAAAAGGGAAGAAAATTAAAATCCCGATGAATACTTCCCTTTTCTCGAGAGTAAATGGATTCCAGACACAAACAGTTTTGCATGTGGAATATTCTGGCAGTCTCTGGGAAAATAAGCTCCATAACTAAAGAAAGATGTGGAAGCAGCCTGGAATTTTATTTGAGTTCAATAGCCTTGGGGCAATGTCAACAAGTTATTGAAACATCGCAAGCGTTTCTGAGCCGCAGAACAAAGGATGAGAGAGAGGATCGTCCTCCGACTTAGTCATGCCTGTGAACTCCCTGTCAGACCAACAGCCGTGACACAATGCCAGGCAATTAAGAGAGCTGGCACGGGACATGTGCTCTGAGTGTGCATTTTGCCTCTTGCTTGTGGGATTGGTAGAGTTTCCATTGCTTACTGAGGTCCGGCAAGTGCTGGTGCAGAATTCAAACTAAGGTCTGACCTCAGTCACTCAAAGGTTTTCCAGCACGGGATTCACAGAAGGCAGTAAAAATGTTCCCAAGCTTGCTATGTGTTTAGAATGGGGGAAGAAAACCCTCTTGCCCAACTCAGATATTTAACATCGAGGAGAGTGGTTTTCTGCAGCCATAAACCATCCCTTGCGTGTGTAGGGGCACACTACTCACACAAAATTAATGACCGAAGACTGTTGGGCCTTTTTAACCTAAACAAGGTTATGAGCAGTGACCAGAACAAATTGCCTGTTCTAGAAACTGAAAGAACCGAGTCTAACTTCTTGTGGTATAATAAAATTTACTGGAGTTCCTCTACTACAAAACAAATTAGCCAGCCAGTCTCCCACCCTCCTGCCGCAAAATAATCTTTATGAGCACTGCTGTTTAGACTGGCCTAAAATCCCTTCACTTAATACACGCTTAAGATTTCATGGTTGTCGCTAAAGTTCCTTTGTGTTCCCCAAGCAGAGTGGGCGGTCTCATAGGGCAGGGCTTGAAGAGCTGAACCGTGAGCTAGACCACCAGGATTGCCTGAACACTAACTGTATGATCTTCATAAATTAACCAGTTTTGTGCATCAATTTCCTTGCCTATAAAATGGGGCCCATAAGACTGTTTTGCGGGTTTTTCTCCCACAGGAATTGAATGTGTGCAAACCTGCTGAATTGATGCTTCGCTTATTAACATTAGTTAAAGCTAATAAGCATATAGATGTCTGATTGGCTTTCTGGTCTACCCTTGTGTGACTTACTATGCTTTAACAATGAGGTTGGCTGGGTTGTTTTGCTTTGTTTTGTTTTGGGGGGTGTTGTTTGGTTGTTTTAAAGAGATTATGCACTCTTGTAGGACAGAAAGCTGATCAAAAATTCCTAGCACTGAGATCAGAACTTGAGGATTTAGGAACGATCATGCCAAGGCTAAAGATTTAGGTCAGTCAAAATTTCACATCCACAGGCTCCACTCAGATTCCCAGATTCACATAGCCAGTCATCAAGTGTCCACCTGAGAATGCCCTCCAGCTGAGATGGTGCCAAGAACTATGCTCAGAGACACTAACCGTTGCCTGGAGGGGTCAGAATGAATGGCCAGAACAGAGGCTGTGCAGGTTAGCTGCCTGATGGCTGGGCCCAAAGAAGAAGAGGAAGAGGAGGAGAGAGAGCAAGTAAGGGAACCTGGGCAGAAGTTCCCAACAGCCACCTCACTGAAATTCTTGGTTTCATGACCATTTGAACCCTGAAAACAGAATGTGAATGTCCAGGACGATTGAAGACTATGCCCAATGTACTTTCCATTGTTATGTCAAACCGTGTAAACTTAGGTTTACTTAGTCATACATGTGCCAGCCTCAGGCCAAGACAAGGTGACATTGATCATGAGAGCCGTGAAACCTGTTGCGCTTTGTTCCTGTAATCATTACAATCATTTCTGCTGAGAGTTTCCTTGGTAGACTTCTTAGCCCGTAAGCGAGACAGGTAGCTGTGAGAACCAACTCCTATGTTAGCACACCTTCCAAGTGTCCTTTCTCTTATTTTTAGCTAAACTTTATAGGGTAGGCTGTCTATACGCAGAGCTCTCCATTTTAGACTTTCAATCATGTGGTGTTCCTTGACCTTGAACCAGGCATGCCCCTGAATGTGTCTATTACGATTTCTTAAGTAGTGAACTTAAATGGAGCATGTTCACATCGGTGTTTCTAACATGCTCAGAAATGTGCCCAATGCTAAATGCTTTCATATATTCATATACATATATGAATATATATTAGAAGTATATATTTTTCCTATACAAAGTCTCCTGAATGTATGAAAGCATTTAGCACTGAGCACACTCCTGAGCTTTGTTGGAAGAGGACATTACTTTGGAAATGGCTCCCGTGCTCCCCTTAGTCTTTCCAGTGGCAAGCCATTATCCACTGGTTTTGGCTATACTTTCATCCTTGAACTGAGCAATATGTGAACTCATTGTATTTGGTTACAGACTGGCTTCCACTTAAACGTCTTCCTCCAAGAGGAAATTTACAAAGGGAGATGCTGGGTCCCTTGTTACAATTTGCATACTGAGAATGGACCACACAATGGATTTGGTCAGTATTCAGAGAAAAAATTCCTGGAGTGAATGTATGAGTGAGGGCAATATCAGACTTCCAACCAGGAAACAGTGAAAAGTCTTAGTTCATTCTCACTTCCAACTGTCTCAGTCCTAAGCATTGTCTTGGTGGGAAGGGCTAAATATGCAAACATACAGTGTATTATTCTAATGGGCTGGTAAGACGGCTCAGTAGGAAAACACATCCACTGCCACACCTATGATCTGAGCTTCGTCCTGGGACCCAAGTGGTAGGAAAGAATCTATTCCTGCAAGCTGTCCTCTGACTTCCACACAACGCTCTGCAGCACACAGGTGCTGTGGGTATGCCTGTGCTTGAACACACTCAAAACTAGCAAACGAATGTAATAAAAAATTTACAAAGTATTCATTTGACTGCCAGCAGGTACACAGGTCATGGACATTCAGAAGTTTCACATTAGCCAAGTGTGGTGCAAGCCTCCCTTCCAGCATTCAGAATGGAGAGGCAGTCAGATTTCTGAGTTCAAAGCCAGCCTGGTTTACATAGCAAGTTCCAGGCCAGCCAAGGCTATGGAGTGAGACCCTGTCTCAGAACACAACATTCACACTGAGATGCGACCATCGCCAATCACCTGCCTCCAGAATTCTTTTCCTCTTCTCACAGGGAAAGTTGACCCCCTCTAAACGCACTTGATTCCCTCCTTCCGGCTCCCGGAAGTCACCATTGCATTTTCTGTCGTGACTAGTCTGACTATTGTAGATCCGTCCTGTAAGTGGGGTCACACAGAATCTGTCCTTTTGTGACTGGAGCCTCCTATTTAGCATAGCTCCTAACTCCATCCACATGGTGGTATATCTGAGAACTTCCTTTATAGGAACAGATGATATTTCATGCTATACAAATGCCGTATCTTGTTCATTCATAATTCACCGATAAGTACGCTTTGACCATTGCACAGGATGCTCCTCTGAACAGGGGTGGACTCACCCTCCTCTGAGTCTGTGTTGTCACAGTCCCATAATGAGATCATTGGAAAATATGCTATTTCTTTGCAGGAATTCTTGCGAAATCACCATGTAGTGTTCCACAGTGGGAAATGCTCCCACAGCATCGGATGAAGGCTCTAACTGCTGCTTAGCCTTTCCTGCACTTACCATCATCATTGTCATCATCACTGCAGTATGGAGCCGCCCCAAGGGCCTCGAGCTTAGTAGGCAAATGCTGTGCTTCTGAGCTGTATCCCCCCCTTGCATGTATTATTATTATTATTGACTCTCTCTCTCTCTCTCTCTCTCTCTCTGTGTGTGTGTGTGTGTTCTCTCTCTCTCTCTCTCTCTGTGTGTGTGTGTTCTCTCTCTCTCTCTCTCTCTCTCTCTCTCTGTGTGTGTGTGTGTATACGCGTGCACGTGTGTAATTTCTTTGGAGAAAGCCAGTGTAGTTCTTTGGACCATTCACTGACTTTACAAAATGCCATCACTGTTGATATTCCTGCATTTGAGAATTTGAGAAGCTCTTCTTTTTCTTCTGTGTTGTGTCTCATGTTACTTCTTCTTTCCATGAAGTTTCTGAATAACTACAAAACCTTCTATACCAAAATCACTTAAGGTGTGTTGATAAATCAATGTCTTTACACTAGACACCAGTGTACAAGTCAAGAGGTAATGACACTACCAAAATGGAACCTAGTTCTTGTAAGAGTCAATCTCTAAAATGTTACCCTCTTTAGCCCTACAACTTCCA